TCTCATCAGAAAAGAGGACTTTGGACCACTGAGCAACAGACCAGCTCTGTTTTTCTTTAGCCCAGATAAGACGCTTCTGATGTTGTTTGTTGTTCAGGAGCGGCTTGACAAGAGGAATACGACATTTGAAGCCCATGTCCAGGATCCGTGTCTGTGTGGTGGCTCTTGATGCACTGACTCTAGCCTCAGTCCACTCCTTTTGAAAGTCCCCAACACTTTTGAATGGCCTTTTCCTGACAATCCTCTCCAGGCTGCGGAGGCACCTATTTTTTCCACACTTTTCCCTTCCACATAACTTTCTATTAATGTGCTTTGATACAGCACTTTGGGAACATCCAACTTCTTTTGCAATTACCTTTTGAAGCTTTCCCTCCTTATGGAGGGTGTCAATGATGGTTTTCTGCACAACTGTCAGGTCATCAGTCTTTCCCATAATTGTGATTCCTACTGAACCTGACTAAGAGACCATTTAAAAGCTCAAGGATCCTTTGCAGGTATTATGGCTTAATTAGCTGATTAGAGTGCATACTTTGAGCCTAGAATAATGAACCTTTTCACAATATTCTAATTTTCTGAGATTGTGGATTTGTGGTTTTCATGAGCTGTAAGCCATAATCCTCTCAATTATGCCACATCACGGCTTGAACTATCTTGCTTTGCATGTAATGAGTCTATCTCATAATTAGGTTCATTAAGTTGCATTACTGAAATAAATGAACTTTTCCACAATATTCTCATTTTTCGAGTTTCACCTGTAGTGGTAGTTCCATAGAATCTAGTGGTAATGAATTCCAGTCTTAAATATCGCATGTTGTATAAAAATATTTTTGTCTTACAGGATTAAATTTCATTAGATGAATTTGATTCTAATATTTGGGAAGGGAAAATAGCTTCTTTTTGTCTTCACCATACATAATGTTATATACCTCATTCCAATTCATTCTCATTAGTTTATTCTCTAGTCTAAAAAGCCCCAAGTTTCACAATCTTTCCTCTTAGAGAATCTGCTTCAGCTGCTTGCTCATCTTAGTTGGCTCCTCTGAACTGCACCCAACATTTTACATGCACTCACACCACTGATTTATATAAAGGCATTATAATGTTGGCATCTCTGTTTTCAATACTTTAATTATCCCTAACATGCTGTTGAATCTTTTTATAGCAAATGTATATTGTGTCAATACCATGACCAAATCCTTTACCATTTCAAGATCTCTTTACTCATCAGTCACTGTCAGCTCTGATCTCATTTGTTTGTATGAATAGTTTGGATGCTTGGCACCATTTTGCTCAAATTGAATAACACCTGCCATTTTGATGCTCGCTCCTCTATTAAAATTGCCTTCATTTTAAGTCTGTGCCTAATGCAATATATTTTATAATATTTTATTCTTAGGCTTATGTTATTGGACTATAGGCTAATACTGAAATAATAAAAAGTAGATCCTACCTAGTCAGGTTTCTTTACCTTGTGCTCAGGAACATATAAAGCTTGGAATAAATGAAATGGATTTTATACTTCAAGGCACAATGTTGGGCGGGGAGAAGAGTTTAACATATTTATTATGATATAGATTCGATTCTAGTTGTCTGTAATAGCTATAAATAGACATACACTTAAAATGAAGGTGGTTTTAAGAAGGGAAAAAGTATCGAGTGGCAGATATTATACGATGTGAGCAAATTGGTGCCAAAAATCTTAAAGTTGAGGAAGAATTATCTTACCCTTCCTTGCATTTTTTTATGAATTGTAATCTACATCATTGACTGTATATCAATATAAAGGAGGAAAAACTGAATTAAGAAAATATGGCATCTAAAACCAGAAGAGAGGAATTTGGTAAAGATCTGAGCAAAATTCAATCTACTATGGAAATTTCTCACAGCTTGACAGCATCCATTGGAATTTTTTAAATACCTGTCCCATTTTGCAAGTAGAATTTCCACATTTGGGGTAGCCATCTTTTGACAAACAGTACCACTGAGTGCTATTAGGTGAGTGCTGTTAAAAAGTGTAAGTAATACACTTTATTATTTGAGTGTGCCATCCATATTACTAAATGGAAGTCATGGAGCATTTATAACAAAAGCCCTTATTTCAGCAGCTGCACTAGTCATTTCTATGTTTTTAAATTTCCTAGTTTATCCTCTAAATTATATTGCATTTTTAATCTCCTTTAGTAACTTACTAATTACATTAATTGATTCCAGTAGTTTAGAACATAGTGTCATATGATTTGATCTATAAATCAGCTTTCTCCAAGATACTTTTTTTTTTTAGAATGTTGAATTTGAACTCCTATGATTCACAGCTAGCATATGCTTGTTTGGGATTGTGATAGTTTAGGTCCAATACATCTGAAGAGAACCAAGATCAGGAAGATTTCAGAAGCTTCAATATCCTTTCAAAAAAGAAGATTAAATACTTTAGGAAACTGTAGATTTGGAATTATTTCACAGACTCCTGTAGCATCAACTAAGAGCAAAAGCTATTGGAAAACTGGATCTTAGACAATGTAAACTAGTTTTTGCCAAATTTCTGTGGAAATCTATTCAAGAATCTGCTTAGCTGACATTGTGGTTGATTCAGTGTGTAAGTGGGAATGATAAAATGTTCAATACATCAAGTAAAATTCTACAGTTGCTTTTGTAATTGAGGTGACATACAAATAGATTAAATAAATAAGTATTCATTTAAATCTGATTAATCTTGTAGCTTTCCAGCTTTTATTGATTGGAATTGTCATTTGATCCTAGAAACTATGATAAACTTGTAATTATTTTTCTCTCTTTAAGAAAAAGGTTAAAAGCATCCTTGATATTTACTAAGGAATGTAATTTAAAGATGAAATTATAGTTTTCCAGTTGCTTGGTGGATACATTTTGCAGCATTGCCTATAAGTTGCATCATTTGGGAATAATGTGAAGACATCCATTGAATGTGGTTACTTTAGAAAGAAATTACAAATCTGACATGAATCAAAATAATAGCAACAGTACTTCATTAGATTTATTTTTCCCTACAATTTCACTGCTCTGAATCCTTGTGCAAGAAATATATCCATGACTGTGCATAAGCATAGCTCTCAAAAGGTTGTGCTACGTAAGTGTGGTAATCTTTAAAATGCCCATTGCTGAAGAAGCCCACCATCAAGGAATTGAATGACTGCAGAGCAGTTGCTCTAACATCTGTAGTTATGAAAATCTTTGAAAGGCTAGTGCTGTCCCACCTGAAAACCATCACAGATCCGCTGTTAGGTCCCATGCAGTTTGCATACCAAGAAAATAGATCAACAGATGATGCTGTTAATATGCCTCTGCACTACATCCTACAACACCTTGAATCTCCAAATACAAGGCTCCTCTTTGTAGACTTCAGTTTAGCATTCAATACCATCATTCCAGACATTCTTCTAACTAAATTAAACCAACTAGCAGTATCTGAACACACTTGTAAGTAGATCATAAGCTTCTTAGCAGAAGGTGACGCAAGGTAGAATCACATCTGATACTTGTACAATTAGTACAGGGACCTCCCAAGGCTTGTGTGCTTTCTCCACTTCTCCCTATATGTCAATGACTTTCTTCACTTCTCTTCTCCCCATATATCAATCTCAATTGATGCATCTGTTAAAATACTGAAGTTTGCAGATGACACAACAGTGATTGGTCTCATTCGAGTCAATGACAAATCTGCATACAGACAGGAGGTTGTACAACTTGCCTCATGGTGTAACCGGAACAATCTGGAACTGAGCATACTTAAAACCATAGAAATGGTGGTAGACTTTAGAAGAAACCCTCCCATCCTACCACGTCTTACAGTACTAAACAACACAGTATCAAAAGTAGAGACCTTCAAATTTCTAGGTTCTATTATATCACATGACCTAATATGGACACCTAACATCAAAAACGTCATCAAAAAGCACAAAAAGAATGTTCTTTCTGCGCCAACTCAGAAAGCTCAAGCTGACCAAGGAGCTACTGATACAGTTCTACAGAGGAATTATTGAGTCTGTCATCTGCACCTCTATAACTGTCTGGTTTGTTTCTGCAACCCAACAGGATAGTCACAGACTTCAAAGGATAATTAGGACTGCAGAAAAAACAATTACTACCAACCTGCCTTCAGTTGAGGACCTGTATACTGTACAAGTCAAAAAGAGGGCAGTGAAAATAGTTACAGACCCTTGACATTCCGAACATAAACTGTTTCAACTCCTTCCCTCAAAACGACGCTAATGGCACACCAGAACAACTAGACACAAGAACAGTTTTTTCCCAAACGCCATCACTCTGCTAAACAAATAATTGCCTCAACACTGTCCAACTATTTACAAAGTCTGCACTATTATTAATCTTCTCATCACTTCTTATCACCCATCCCCTCCCACCTGTGACTGTATGATTGTAACTTTGTCGCTTGTATCCTTACAATCTATATTGACTGTTTCCTACTATGATTTAATTGCTTATTGTACTCTATGAGTATTATTAAGTGTTGTACCTTATGATTCTTGACAAATGTATCTTTTCTTTTATGTATAATGAGAGTATTTGCACCAAGACAAATCCCTTGTGTGTCCAATCACACTTGGCCAATAAAGAATTCTAATCTTCTAATCTAAAAAAAAATGCCACAATATGCATGGTAGTTTTCACATAGTAAGAGGCAATCAAACTTGTGAATCAAGAAGATCCTTGTGTAATTGTTTAAATTTTCCCCTTTTCAAACTGGTTGCTAATCACAAACCCTCCCCTAAAACTTTGCTAAACTTTGAAGTAGATTTTTTTTCCTTTCAAGTTTGATCCTTCTTTTTTGCTTTTATATTTATTTTTTTCCATCACTGAAATTCTGATGTTCTTTAGCAACTCAGATTCATTCATAAAGACTGAAAATAATTCTAAGATACTCTGGCAGCCTCTAATTAAGAGTAGCATGTATTATCTTTTTAATGATAAGTGATGTGATTTTGCTATTTGTTCTCTTTTTACAGGGTTTATTTACACAGGAGAAGTTGTGCATCAGATGTTAACAGCAACACAGTATATTGCACCCTTGATGGCCAATTTTGACCCCAGCGTTTCGAGAAATTCTACTGTAAGATACTTTGATAATGGTAAGCATGAATAGTTTTGTTCAGATTACTTTTAGTTTAGCTGCTGTTTGTTTCCCTTTGTAGGAAATTACACAGTGGATTGATCATAATATTTAGCTCTTTAAAATGTAATACATTTAATTAGCTATTCCTCTGCATATAAAACTTTAATTTAGTTAAAATTTTGCTGCTAGAGTCTCTAGGCATGTATTATCTATTATTATAATCCATAAAAGCTATAAAAGCTTTAGTTGTTATATAAAATTTCAGTTAGCATTGTTAAAAAAGTGAATCTATAGTGTTTTCTTTTTAGTACCATTTGCATAATAAATATCCATTAATGAATTAAAATATTTTTTATTTGTGTCATATTTTATATAAACATAGGGCATATTATAGAAACAGAGAGGTTAATAAACTTCATAAAGATAATTGAAGTGTCAGTACCGTATAATATTTGAATAACCCTGCCTTTATTTACTGCTCTCAAAGGTCAGTATCTGACATAAAATTGTAACATGCAAAAACAAAATCCAATTTTGTTGCTGGAACTGTACAAAGAATATATATATATATATATATATGAGTTAATTAAGCCATCCACTCTTTTATAGATTTACAAAACATAAAAGTCGGAAGGAATATTGTAAATCATTTAGTCCAGCTTACCAGTTCACTTATCAGAATCCACTACTGTAAGGTATTCCTGGCAGCTGCTACCCTGCCAATTCAAAATTTTCAGCAAAAAGGAATCTATCATTCAGATTTTTAATTCTGATATATTGATCTTTGTCCTGTTTTAAATAGGGAAAATATCTTCCTCTGACTGCCATTTATGTATTAGTCGACGGCTGTTCTGTGTGCAGCTTGACAGACAGCTAACACCCACCACCCCACCCCCGTTCTTCAGTGAAAAAGTCCATGGCATGGATCTGAATGTTTTGTTGTAAGAACAGGGTACGGTGAAACTGAGGAAATAAAAATAGTGAAAATAAAATATAAATACGAGATAGACAGCATTAACCAACAACCAACATAACAACCAACAAATAAGCAGCCTGAACTTCACGAGCAATGCTCTGTGTGAGGGACGTCGCCAGTTTCCAGTTGTGTCATGGTCGAAATGGCTGGTTGTGGTGGGACTCATCTCTGGTGGGGGATGAGTCTGCCTACCAAGATGAGATGGAGCAGTTGTTTTCATCGTGTGGAGACAATAACTTGGTTGTCGATACCATTAAGACCAATGAGTTATAATGGACTATGGAAAGAACAGATCAGACATGCAGACCTTGCTTATCAATGGAGACCGAGTAAAGCAAGTGACCAGTTTTAAGTTTCTGGATTTTACCATAAAAGAGAACCTGACCTGGGATGCTCACATTGTAGCATTAGTCAAAAGGGCCCAGCAGAGATTATGCTGCCTGAGACTTCTCAGAAAACAACAACTGAATGAAAAACTGCTGGTGACCTTCTACTGCTGTACCATAGAGAATATATTTACTGCACTTCTGTATGGTTTGCCGATTGCACAGTGGCAGATAGCACTCCAGAGAGTTAATGTCATTGTACAGAAGTTCATTGGTTGCCCTCTTCCCTCTTTGGAAGAGCTTTATAGCTCCCACTGCCTTAAGAAAGTTCAAAACATTCTCAAAGATCCATCTCATCCTGGGCACCTTTTTTTTGAACTATTACAATCTGGCAGACAGTACAGGATAATAAAACCAAGGACAAATAGGCTGAAAAACAGCTTCTATCCCAGGGCAGTAACTCTATTGAATTCTACTGAATAGTACAATATTAATGCAATATCAGGGGTTTTCAATTCAGTGTATAGAATGTGAAGGATGTGTGTTTGTGTTTATTTTAATAGTCCTAATGTACACTGAAGATGGTATTTAATTTTGTTGTACAAAGTGCAATGACAATAAAGTAAACTAAACTAAATGTGCTTCTGTCTTCTCCAAAGGCTGACAGAAAATGGAGCCTGGCTTCAGATGATATTGTTAGGTTTATCTGTCCCCGGCCACTAGATGGAGCTAGAGCAACAACAGCATAATATTTACATTTTATTTTTATTTTTATTTATTTTATTTTATTTGTCAATTGTTTACAAGATAATAAGTATAAGTGTATACATAGTTATGAATACATGAAATGGGTACATATAAGAAAAATAAAAATAAAAGAAACAATAGGACAGGGACGGTAGGCACGTTGGTGCGCTTATGCACGCCCCCTACAGACCTCTTAGGAAAGGGGTGAGGTCAATAGTAGACAGTCTAAGGTTAAAGTTTTTGGGGTTTGGGGAAGAAACTACAGAGTCAGGTAGAGTATTCCAGACATTGATCACTCTGTTGCTGAAGTCGTATTTCCTGCAATCAAGCTTGGTGCAGTTAACCTTGAGTTTGTATCTGTTGTGTGCTCTTGTGTTGTTATGGTTGAAGCTGAAGTATTCATTGACAGGTAGGACATTGCAATGTATGATTTTATATACCATGCTTAAGTCAGACCGAAGACGGCGTAATTCAAGGTTTTCTAGTTCTAGAATTTCAAGTCTGGTGGCATAAGGTATTCTACAACGAGTAGAGGAGTGGAGAACTCTTCTTGTGAAATATTTCTGGACTTTCTCAATTGTGCTAATATCAGATACGTAATGTGGGTTCCAGACTGATGAGCTGTATTCGAGTATTGGTCTAGCAAATGTTTTGTATGCTCTAGTTAGCAGTGTGATATTACCAGAGAAAAAGCTACGTAAGATTAGATTAACAACTCTTAATGCCTTTTTGGCTATGTAGTTGCAGTGGGCTCTAGCACTTAGATCATTAGAGGTGAGTATTCCAAGGTCCTTTACAGAGCTTGGATCATCAACAAGATCTTGACTATTCAGCTTGTATTTTATTTTCGGATTTTTTTTGCCAATATGTAAGACAGAGCATTTATTTGTTGAGATTTGAAGTTGCCATTTGTTTGACCATTCTGATACACAGTCAAGATCTTTTTGAAGGGTAGCAGTATTGTCTGTGGTATTGAACAGCTTTACATCATCAGCGAAAAGAACGCAGTTGCTCTTAATATGATCACAGAGGTCATTTATGTAGAGTATGAAGAGAGTTGGTCCTAGAACACTGCCTTGGGGGACAGCACTATTGACGGGTACAGAATTTGATAGGACGCTCCCAATTTTGACCATTTGTTGTCTGTTTGACAGGAATGCTTCTATCCAGTTATGCAGTTGTCCAGAGATACCATAGGATTTTATTTTTAGTAGTAGTTTGTCATGTACCACTGAATCAAAGGCTTTACAGAAGTCTATGTAGATTGCATCTATTGTTTTGCCCTGATCAAGTTGTGTAGTCCATATGTTTTTGCAGTGTAAGAGTTGCAGATTACAGGATAGTTTTTTTCTGAAACCAAATTGTTTATTGGAGAGTAGGTTGTATGTCTCTAAGTGGAGGATGGTGGATTGGTTAATAATTGATTCCATGACTTTACAGGAGACGCAGCATAAGGAGATTGGTCTGTAATTTTCAACTAGGCTAGGGTCTCCCTTTTTGAACATGGGAATGACTGTGGCTTGTGACCATAGGTTAGGCAAGGAGCTGGTCCTGAAAGATTTTTCAAAGATTATGCTTAGAGGTTTGGCTATGGCAGTGGATAGCTTTTTTAAGAAATAGGCACATATTCCATCCGGTCCAATAGATAGAGATGGTTTTAGATTGCGTAGTGCTTTTTCAACATTGTCTTCTGTAAAATCGATATGTATTAGATCATTGTAGTTATCTGTGGTTCGGCTAGGAAATACTGGGCATGATCCATTGCTGTTTACAAATACTGAGCCAAAAAATGTGTTAAAGATGTTGTTCTTTAATGGTGTTGTCATTGCAGTCTTTACCATTAGGTCCTATCAGGGGTGGGATGGACCTTAAATCTTTTAGTTTGTTGTTTACAAAATTGTAAAAAGCACTGGTGGAATTGGTGCTTAGAAGGTTTTCCTCTTGTTTAATGTGATAATTGGTGCATTCGGTCTTTATTTGGTGGGATAAATTTTTGTATCGGCTTTTGAAATTGGCAACGTGACCAGATTTGTTTTTCCGCCAGAGTGATCTCTTTTTGGATTGAAGTTTCCTTATTGTTATGGGCAATCTGTTTTTTTGTTTTGTTTTGGGAGTAGTTGTTGGTACATATAGTTTGATGACTCTTTTGACTTCAAGTAAAAATATGTTGTAATGGTCTTCAACAGTATTGCATCCAGTGAATAGAGATTGCCAATCAAGGGATGAGAGATCATTGTCTATAAGATCATAGTTGCCTTTTTTTGAAGTTATAATTGGGGATTACGTCATTGTGGTGGTTTTTGTGTGGACGTATGTTGAGACAAAAGTCAATCATATTGTGGTTACTGCTGGAAAAGGGTTCTTTAGTTTGTATTCCGTAAATTAAATTCAAACTATTGCAGAAGATGAGATCGAGGCAGTTGTTTATTCTAGTGTTGTTGGTTACTAGTTATTCCAGTCCCAGATTTGTAACAGCATTGTAAAAGGTTGCATGTATGGTTTCAGTTGTACATTCATTTAGGGTCCAGTCAATATGAGGCAGATTGAAATCACCAAGAAAGATAAAAGGGTATGGGCAGGATGCTGCCCATGTTAGTAGTGAATTTAGCTTGTTTACATGTTCGATGTCATAATCAGGTGCTCTGTAACATAGTAAGAATCGAATTGTGATATTTAAGGATAGTTCACAGATAATGCTCTCAGGAAGAGCAAGCTCCTGGGTAACTTGGATATTTTTTAGATGTAAGGACTTTTTATAGAAGATAGCAACACCACCTCCTCTACGAATTTCACGATCTGATCGGTAAACATGATAGTCTCTTACTGTAGTAATGGAGTCAGGGAGAGATGCGTTGAGCCATGTTTCACAGACAAATATAATGTCGAATTTAGCCATATTTAGTAGGAGGAAAAATTCAGGTATTTTATTTACAAGGCTTCTTGCATTGAGTAGCTTGCATTTAAGGCCAGCAGTAGTTGGAATTGAGGTAGTTAGGGGCGTGCGTGCCTAGTCTTGGGTGATGGTGGATTGGTTGAGGTAGGGTTGTGGTTGAAGGTTAAAGCTGAGTTGCGGGATGTGTGACTTACTTTTGATACAGTCAGCATGGTGTGGTCTTAGTTTTCTCTTTTATAACTAGTCATGCTCAACTCCTTAATCCATCCATAAGGCTTGGGTTTTACCTCCTACACCATCCTACTTTTTGTCCTCTGTATGTATTCCAGCCTTTCCACTACTGTAAACTTCTGATTAATCTGGGATATTGGTGGATTTAGATTTTTTTTCATTTAGATTTAGAGGAAGAAGCATTGCAGCTATAGTATCTACATTCAGTAGAATTATTGCTGATTTAACAGCTTGAGTTCTGAAAAAATAATAGGTTTATCCACCTTTTAGCCTGGAGAGAACAAAATAATTTTATTAGTCTTTGATCACTGCAGCAAAGAGATTCCCTGCGAATTACAATCATAACAATAAAACACTCATAGTACACATACAATATATAGTATATGTATATAGAACAGTTTATATACATAATCTATAGTTACGTACTTATATATACCCTGACCACATTTAAGTAATCTTTAAAAATAATTATTTTTTCCTGCACACATTAGGTTAAAGTACCATGTTTCTCAGAAAATAAGGCTGGCCCTTATTTTCTTTTGACCCTCGAAAAAATGGCTAGGCCGTCTTTTGGGGGGTGACTTAATTTCTCCCCCCCCGCGCACCCTCTCCTAGAGCACCCCATGGGCAGCCATGCCTTGGTACCAGCCGCTCCTAACAGCCAATCATGGTGGAAGGTGGAAGGCTCCCTACTCCCGCCAAGTGCCTTTGATGCAGACCCAGCTATGGAGGCGGCTGCAGGCCTGCTCAGCAGGCAAGTAGCGGCAGTGTGGATGTCATCATCGGTGGGGCACTTTGCATCACGGGAACTTCGTCGACTGCCGCTGCTGCTTCCTCCACCACCATAGTTTTCCCTTCTACCCTCATCATGGCTTATGCTGCATTCGGAGTGCTGCCATTGGGCAAGACACAGAGGCTGGAGTCCCTGCTGAACATCACAGCAGTAGAGGAGAAGTGGGTCTTCCAGTGGGTGGAAGAACGGTTCAAGCGCATTCCTCCACCAGCAGCATTTCAGCCGCTTCTCAGGCAGGGGAGCTGCCTCCATAGCTTCCATGGTTTCCGCCGGTGGTGGCGCCTCTCTTGCCAACGCCATCTCCAACAACACCAGCAGCAGCGGCAGGACAGACCCCTCTACCAGTGAGAATCACCGGCCCTTTTGCAGGGGCATCACTTTGCTTGATGGCAGCTCCATCAACAACATCCTGCAAGTTGCTGAGTCATTCGGGCTTTGATGAGTGGAAGCGGCAGCAGGAGGGTGATGCCATCATTTCTCCCCCCCCCCCCCACACACACAACTTGCTTTGCTTCCCACCCCACAGCTTCAGGTCACGGTCTCGTCCCCTGTATGGTTGGGCGCTCTCCCCTTGCTCCAGCCACCCAAAAAAACCCTGTGGACCTTTTCCCCCCTCTTTAAGTTTTCTTTATTCTCATTCCCTCCATCAGTTCCTAAGAATACAGACTGGCCAGGCAGCTTCCTCTTCCCCTCCCAGTAGTTTTAAAAAGGTAACCATCTATCCGTTTTGCCCTTTGAGCAGAGGCAAACCTTCCAACCCAAACATAAGAGAAAGGGAATCATCCTACAGACCCTTAGCACACCCTTAAATGCATTCCCCACCTTCATCTCCTTGAAGGACAGAAATAGGATGGAAATCCACCTCCTGGATTTCTCCTGGCAAATCCCAAAGAGAGAATCCTCTGGGAAGCTTGGTAGGAAAAGAAGGAGGGAGGGAGGGTTTCTGTCATGATCAGTTGTTTGGCGAGGAATTAGGGCCTCTCCTAATGGCAAGTTCCCCCCCTTCCCCCCTCCCCATTTCGCATATTTTAAATAGGCCTAAATTTGGGGGGAATGGCTTAATTTCACCTCATGCCTAGGAAACATGCTGGGGGAGCCGTATTGTTGGAGAAACACGGTACTAGTTGAAGAATGTGATTGGAGATTATGTTGTCCCTTGGAAGATTGGTTATAGTTTTATATAAAATTGATTATTTTAACTTGTGAAGCCATAGAGTTGTTTTGAAATTAAGCAAGCTAGAAATTAAATCAATGAATTAATTAAAAAAGTAGTTGCAAAATTTGCAACCTCAGATAAAATGACAAAACAACCTACCCCAAAATAATTAAAAACAGAAGTCAACATCCATTTATATCTACATATATATTGCACTCTATATAATGTTATGGTTTCTTGGAGAAATAAATACCTTTCATTCTCACAGAATTTCTTGCACACCAGAAACAAGGACCTTGTAGCACTTCATATTTTTACTGGATTCTAATTTCTATAATCAGACCAAGAGACAGGATTTCAGAAGTAATTTAAATTACATTCGGGTGAATGAAAACTGAGCTGTTTCTGGACTTAGTAGACGCCCCAGTGTTACTTTGTTGTACCATCCTCTTCTTCCAGATACTTTTTATCTGATTTTCCAGCCAAGCCAACCAGTCTGACATTTCCTGTAGTCTCTCCTCCAGGTATTAGCTAGGTGTAGCATATTTGATTTTCAACTTCAGCTGCCTGTAACCATCAAGGTGGCCACATCTAGGGAAGCATGAGTCAAGTGACAATTATTCTTCAGTAATAGAGGTTGATATTCTTGATATCTTACATTTCTAAAACTTACAGACTGTTAGTCAGATAACTCCATGTAGTTAATATTTCTAATCCAAACTGCATATTTATTCCACTGAGTTAAGTTCCCATGACAAAACACTGCAATTTTAACTTGCCATAGCCTTTATGAAATGTAATGCTAAATAGATACAGAAATATTGTTGTCAATTGTGTTTAAAGAAATTTGAAAAATATGTTGACAATTGGATAAATATGTACCATAATTGGTAGACCCACTAGATACATGGAGCCTACAGATTTACCATATGTCTTGCATTAAATATTTTTGGAGAATTAGAGCCTCAAATAACAATAGCACTTAGACCTAGATGCTGCCCATCCTGCTTTACAACGCTCTCTGAGTGTCAATACATTGCCTCCAACAATCTGAATCCTCATTTTATTGATATAGTAAGGATGGAAGCTGAATCAACCTTGAGCTCATCAGGATTGAACTCCATGCTATATGCAGGGTTTCCCTGAAATAATGCATTCTAATCACTGCGCTACCAGGGCTGCTTTTGCAAGACAGCTATATTGTCTCTGCATGAAAAAGAATTCTGTAGATCCTTGGGAGCTTTTAATATACACACAGGATATTTAGAGGGAGCTGAAAGAAAATATATATAAATCTAATTATAATGAAATTGTTTCTTATATTGGATGTACAACTTCCATGTTCTTTGAGCTTATTTTCAGATAAGTGTTTGTTACTGCTTTGGCTCCTTTGCACATTAGCCATTCAATTGATGATGTATTTCAATTCATAGTATCTTTTGTTATACAAAAAAATGTTATTTCCAGTACTTCTGGAAAGTCACTGGTACTGATTATTTCCATAAATTAGTTAGAAAATGTTGAAATAAACCTGAATTTTACATCTCCTTATGTTGTTCAATATTTCATAAGAGGGTGTAATTACACTTCCTGTATAATGTTTGTTTTAGAAGATAATTACTACTTGAGTTGTGGTAGTATGATTAGTCTACCCCAATCTAGGCTGTCCTATGTTATGGCTTACACTGACAACAGATTCTAGATATTCAGGTAATTTTGTAAGGTATCAAAGTCAAGGAAGTTGAATTAATTTATTAAATTACAATCATATACTTTCCTCCAGTATTTTTGTCTCTTTTTCTCAACTTGACAGGCACTGCACTAGTTGTTCAATGGGATCATGTACATCTACAAGATAACTACAACCTGGGCAGTTTCACTTTTCAGGCAACTCTTCTCAATGATGGCCGTATAATTTTTGGCTATAAAGAGGTGAGTCTGATCAGGTAATGAATTGTTTCACTTCAGAAAAAAAAACAGAAATAGGATGGAAATCCACCTCCTGGATTTCTCCTGGCAAATCCCAAAGAGAGAATCCTCTGGGAAGCTTGGTAGGAAAAGAAGGAGGGAGGGAGGGTTTCTGCCATGATCGGTTGTTTGGCGAGGAATTAGGACTTCAGAAAAAAAACATGTAATAAATATAAATTCAAGATCAAATAAAAATTTTCACATGATAAAAATTCTAGAGATCATTTATCTTTTAGTTTCTAGGATCTAAGGTGTACAGATGGATACTATTATAAAATAGAAACACTTGGTTTTTGTATGAGGAAGAGAGAGCTAAGAGATATAATGGAAAGTAAAATCTCTTGTATATTAGGCATAGCCATTGAAACAGAAATAGATGATCTGTGCTCATCCAATTGTTGCCAAATTACAAGTATCAGCATTCCTATTTGTAAATGATGTCGGGAGCTCTAGATAATCAACATTTAGAAAACATCACCTTCTCCACTCTTGATGTTAGACATCACAGGTCAAAAGTAACAATTGGTTATGAGTCTTAATGTACATGTTTGGTCTGGCTCTACTGCCTAATCTTCTATTCATGTGCCTATCAAACAGCAAAGGTTTTGATAGAAAATGTGGGGCTGTTGAGATACAATATAACATTACATTAGAATGTTCCACACTTTTTGTTTCTGCCTTGATCCATCCAGCTCTGATGACTTACATTTGGCAGCTGCTTGTAACACACTCTTGAAACACATTGCATCATCTCACTTTATTTGTTAGAACATACCTCATTCTGTTCAGAAAAAAAATTTACTGGATGAAACAACTATAGATTTTATTCCTGACAAGGAAAATAAAATGGATGCAAACAAATATCATCACAAGCATCAGAAACACTAATGTGCTACTGTGAGCTTCAGATCTCCTCATCCTCTCCTTTTGGTTGCAAAATAGTTAAAAGAATCTGATGATAGTCAATATAAAGCTTTAAAAGGTAAATGTGGGATTTATATGCTCGGGAAGAGAGAAAACATCTTTGGTATTCAACTGCTCTCTGGATTTTATAACAGTAATAGCTTCTTTCGATGATCCTGGAAGATAAAATTAAACAAATGAAGTCAGTAGAGATATCAATAGGGATAAAGAATTGGATTAAAACACTAGTTTGATATCCTGATTTGATGACTCTTATTAATATAAATCAGTTCCCACTTAAACAACTCAGGAAATACATAGTGTCAAATAGAAATATTCCACATTTTTCCTTTTAGTTCAATTTGATAAAAAGGGACTTTGGGAGTTGATATTTTACATTTGTTTAAATGCAAGATAGCCAAAACTATTTATAATTATCCTGGTTTTTTTAAAAAAAGAAGAATTATCTGTCCAGCAATCTGCAGCTTCCTTGGTGGTTAAATGCCTAAAGAAGACTTAGGGCTAGACCATTCCTCTTTTTTTAAAAAAAGCCACACTTATAAGACAATCCTGCTCTTGAAAATAGTTGAATAACAATTAGATTCACCCTGGTTTGGAACCAACTATGACTAGAAGCTTTCATGGAGAAGCTTTCATTCGCCATTTGTCATGTGGGAAGGACGAACATATGAGCCCAAAGCATGGACCTAATAATTATAAATAGGCTGTAGGGATATGTGAATGTACTTCATCTGTAATCTTTTGTAATTTAGTTAAGATTACATAAAATTATATAAAATAATAATGAAATCGGGCCAGTTAAATTTACAAGTCAACATTGAAAATTTTTGTTCTGTGTCTACCTCTTAAAACAGAAAACATTGTTCTCTGCTTCAAGTCTAGTTTCTGTTTTGTTCTTTTACCGCCCTGACCCCCAACCCTAATCTTTCCTCCAGCACATTCTACAAAAATAGTAAATAGCTTTTACAGGATTGAGGATCTCATTGCTGCCTTAAAGAGCAGGTAAAGCTTTCACATTAAGCAAATTTAGAAAAATGTATGGAATACATTGGACTATACTGGACTATTATTAATTTGATTAGGAAAGAAACAGTTGTATTTCTGAACATTAGCATAGCTTGTAAACCTTTCTACTATTTACTCTAAAATTAAAAGAATCTTGAAAAGCAAATTACTTCAAAACCAGCCTTTCCTTGGATGTTTAAAATGCAAAGACCAATGTCCCCCTTAATTTAGACAGTCCAAATGGATTGACATTTTGCTGCTCCCCAGAATTAACAGAATTTCTATAAAATATTCAGTAACAGAAATGGAATTTGTTTCCCATCATATTTATTTTCTTTCTGTCTTTGTGCAGAATTATATTTGTGCTCACAAAACAACATTAGGAAAAAAGCTATTTACACAATAAGCAAATTAAACTGTTTGACAAAAATATTTATTGTATTTCAAGTTTTTGTGAGTTTTGTTCCTAGAGTGATCTAACAATGAAGTCTATTGGTGACAGACTTGAAAACATAATTGCTGAAATACTTACATGAAATTGGTGAGCAGGTCTGCCAAAACTTTAAATATTAGCTTTCATCTCATTGTATTTTTTATTGTATAATGTTTTCTCATCCCCAACTGAATGTACTCTTTTTTGAAAGTTTAATCAGTTTAATGTTGTATAGAAAATTTGTGGAGAGCAGTTATAAATAAACTCCATTTCTGATAAAAGCAGAGCCCAGTAGCAAGTAGAGGGAGATGTAATGGTATGTGGAAATGTTCTTCAGAGACAGGAAAAAGAGCCTGATATTAGCCCTTCCAGTAGTCCAGATAAGCACAAGTATGAATACTAACTCTGCTTTTGTTGTTAGGTTCCATTAACACAGGTTTGCAATACTGAAAATGTTCCTCCCCTCCTTTCCTTTTACTCTACATAAAGCTAAGGAGGATCAGGTTACCATGTGTGAACCTTGTTCAGCATTTGATTACATTTTATAATATGGCATGTTAGTGATAAATAGATACTATCAAAAATTGATTGTCTCAAAAACTTATCTCTTTTATCCCTTTTTTGGCAGATTCCTGTCTCAGTGACACAGATAAGTTCAACTAATCATCCTGTTAAAGTGGGGCTGTCAGATGCATTTGTGGTTCTCCACAGGATCCAGCAAATTCCTAGTATGTTGTTACTGAATGTAACATGAGACAATATGATTTATTGTGAGAGCAAAATAGATTAAAGGAGATTAAAATGTTTTAAATAAACAAGATCAGAAGTTTTATTAGGTTCAGATAACTAATTTAAATATAATTTTACTTGGCTTATAACTCCCAATGTGATTCTACATCACTTCTTGTCAGCTATTCAAAAAGTTCCTCAAGATTCTCTGTAGTTCAATACAGCTATTTTACAGGATTTTTGTTATTTCTATTGAAGGAACAACAAAGAACTTGGATAAAAGATTTTCACTGTAATAAAAAAAGAAAATTTCATAAAATGGAATTTCTGCTTGTAAGATATATGCAATTTCTTTATTCCACTGAGAGAGCTTAGAGGGACTTTTTCCTTTAAGATTACCTAAGAATAAACAGTACAAGATATCCTTTATTTTACTGTTAATATTTAGACTAGCTCAACTCCTGTGTCCCTAGGGACATATCCATATAATTTTCTTAACGAAAGTATGGACTTTTAGCTTTCTGACTGGTTTGGATATTTTTTAACTTAACAATCTAATCTATAACCCTAATATTCATTTGTCGTCTTCTAAGTATTAATGAGGCCTAGTCTCTTATCATTAAGAAATGCATTTCTTTATAGGTTAAAAATATTTGGATTATATCATCTTTGGAATCACTGTTCTGTTTTATATTAAATAATACAATTTGCATTTAGTCCTTTCCCCAAAGTTCTCCTTTTACCTAGTGTTAGGATCAGTACCTGATAATAAGGGTGTTAAATTATGTTGACTTTAAAATTGAACTTTGTGATATGTGTTTGTGCTGCAATTATACTGCCCCAATTAGATGTGTTACATTTTAAATTCATCCAAGGTATCTTTTTTCCCCACCTAGTTTAAAAAACAGATCCCAAAGAGGCGTGAGAACAATGAATCCCCCTGAAAGATCCATCTTGCCTAAATAATAAATTTACCCCCCATATACAAACAAGGACCAACCTAGATTCCCACAAAGAGCCAGCCAATCAGACAATTTCCTGCCTTGCAAGTGACAATTTCTGTAAAGTTTTACTGTTCAAGGTTCCTCTTTCTTCTAAAGCAGGCACTCAATGGTCATTACAGTAAACATGGTTCTAGTCTTGGTGTTGTGTTGTATAGATGTCTTCAATATAAGAAAGTAAAAGTAACAGTAGATTGGGTGTTGTACTCTGTGCAAGCTGTGCAAATATCCAGCAATTCCAGTCTCTCTGCATGCATCTACAAAATATCCTTTATTATTTTCATACAGCAGTAATCTGTGTCATACAGCTGTTTGTATACACAACATGGATAGCAATACAGCTAGACTTTCAAAAACTCAACCCTGTATTCAGTAGCCAGCTAATAGCAGAGATTTTACAGATTTAATGTGGGTTGATGGGTAGCTTTATTGCAAACAAGAAAGCAGTTGTTCATACAGACAAAATCTGCCTGTAACATGTCTTACAAGTTAACCCACACATATGCCTGCTGCCTGCCTGCCTGCTTACTTGCTTCAAGATTTAAATTGTATGTATTTTCTCCCTTGCTTCCAATTAAATGGACTTGATATTTTTCCCCCAGCCTTGAGAGCCAGAATAATTTGTTCCAATGTCTATCTACCCTGAAAATATTTCTTCCATGCCTTGCCACTTCATCATTTACATTGGGAAAGGTTGCTACTTGACCATCTGTATTTTTTGGCACTTCCTCCATGATTGCCAGGCTCTCATTCAAACAACCTAATTGGACAGCTACGAGGGAATGCAGCCTCACTGGGAAGGTTGTTCCATAGCATACTTGCCCCAATAAATAATCATTTTCTTCAGTGTCACATAGACCCAGGCAGCCACTAATCACTCAACTAAACAATTATTGTTCTGGGTTATGGAGCAATAATGTTTACTGACAAGGTGTCAATCAAACAAAATGCAAGCTGCCAGAGAATGTGGAACTGGGAAGCCTTATATTGTATTCTAACAGCTATGATGAGCTCTTAGGGTGTGATATCTATCCTGTGCGTGCTTATTTGGGAAGAAGGATCCCAGTTATCCCATGAATATTGCCCTTTTATATCAGTCATGAGCATTTGCAGAAATTGTGTTGTTTGCTTGTGTTTTATAAGTAGTACTTTCTAGAGCAGTGGCCCACGGGGTGCTTAAATCCAGCCTGTGGGGCTGGCCTACGGTGCCTCTGTTGGATAAAACTGGCTATGTATGAGGGGGCCTTGTTTTCAATCTCCTTGGTCTCCTGAAGCATTCTGTTGGCCAGAAACAGGCTGAAAATGGCCAAAAATATGGGTCCAAAACAGGCCAAAAAACAGGCCCAAAGGGGGTCCAAAATGGCTGAAAAATGGGCCAAAAAAGTCCCCCAAACAGGCCACCAGGTTTTTTACCAACAGAGTGCTACAAGAGGCCATGGAGGGCAAAAACGAAGTGCAGGGAACCACATGCAGACTTCCCATGCCCTATTTTGGCCAGCAGGAAGCATCCATACTGCCCATCCCCCCCCCACCAGCCCTTAGAGGAAAAGTACAATGCTGATCTGGCCCTTGAAGAAATACAGTTTGACATCCCTGTTCTAGAGGTATGGCGCATACTCTCATGAGCATACAGTAATTCAAACAGGCTTATTCATATTAAAAATTTCAATTTTGTGCAAATATACATACATACATACATACATACATACATGCATATCTATATATATCTATATATATGTTTTCTGAGGTTCTCGCGGGTATTTGTATGTGGATCTTTGGTTGTTCGGGTTTTCTCCCGCGTAAGATTCGAAGTATCTAGGCAACGTTTCGATGAAGTCTCATTCATCATCTTCAGGCTTCTGTCTCCGGCTCTGTGCTTCTCAGAGTGATGTGAGGTTGCAGCTGCTTCTTCCTTTTAACTGCTAGTGGGGGTGGGACTTGATTGGGTGGGGGCTTGGCTGTGTTCTGATTGGGTGGGGGTGTGTTCTCATTGGTAGGGGGTTTGGCTGTGTTCTGATTGGTTGGGGGGTTAGCCGTGTTCTGATTGGTTGGAGGCGTGTTCTGTTCAGGTGGGGGCTTGGTTGTGCTCAGGTTAGTCTTAGTTGCTGGGGGATTTGAGTTGGTGAGCTGTGATCTTGCTGTTTGGCTTCGAGTTCGTGGTCGTGCTGCATCTTCATAGTGGGTGTCGGTTTGCTTCATGTATGGCTCGGAGGGGTTTGAAGTGGATAGTGATGCAGCTGCAGTGCAGCTTCTGGTCCATGGTCGTGTCTCATCTTCTGAGTGGGTGTGAGGCTGTTTTCTACATGGAAGTGTGGTGGTGGCATCTTGTGTGGCTCTCATGGGTGTGGGTCTGGTGTCTTTCTTCATGTTAGGTACTCGTCTGTTCATGAGGGCGGGTTTCCAAATGGCTGGAAGGCGGGAGGTGTCATAATCTGGCCACACGGGAAAGAAAAACTGAACAACTTCCTCACACACCTCAACAGCCTACACCCCAAAATACAATTCACCATGGAAACAGAAGCCAACAATCAACTTCCCTTCCTAGATGTCTTGGTATACAAAAGATCCAATGGCTCCCTAGGACACACCATCTACCAGAAGAAAACACATACAAACCGCTATCTACATGCACTCTCACACCACCACCCAGCACAGATCAATTCCGTAGCTCATCTCCAGAACAAAATGCTTAGCCGATGAACAACACCAAAAAACCGAACTACACACTCTCACCAACGTACTTACAGCCAATGGATTCCAAAGAAAGAAGATTACCCACCTAATCCAAAAAGAAACCCCAACCAAAATCCAAGACAGAGAACAAGAAAACGGCAAAGCCCTCCTCCCATATATAAAAGGCACTACAGACAAAATTAGCAAGATCCTCCAAAAACACAACATCAAAACAGCATTCTGCACAAACAGAAAAATATCCACCATCCTAAGAAACCCCAAAGACAAAATCGAATTAGAAAACCAAGGAGTATATGAAATCCCCTGCACTGCCTGCCCTACCACATACATTGGACAAACTAACAGAAGAATAAGTGCACGCATTGAAGAACATAAGAACTCAATCAAAAAAGAAGAAACGACCTCTTCCCTGGTCCGACACCTCAAAGCCACAGGACATGAAATTGATTTTAAAAATACCAGAACTATCGCCAAAACCGAACACTTCAACAGCAGAATAATCAGAGAAGCCATAGAGATAGAAAAACGCCCACACAGCATGAACAAACGAGATGACACCTCCCGCCTTCCAGCCATTTGGAAACCCGCCCTCATGAACAGACGAGTACCTAACATGAAGAAAGACACCAGACCCACATACATAACATGCACACAGGTTGGCACAAAGGGGTTTGAATGGCTATTAAAGGTAACCATCCTCACCTGTGATCTGTTTGCTTGTAATTAGTGTGTGTGTAAAAAAGGTCAATGAGTTCCTGGACTCCTGACAGACCCTTGCATCTTTCATCCAGTGTAGCACTGACATTTCTGGCTTTTGAGTCATGGGGAAAGCAAAAGAATTGTCAAAGGACCTGCGGGAAAAGATAGTTGAACTGTATAAAACAGGAAAGGGATATAAAAAGATATCCAAGGAATTGAGAATGCCAATCAGCAGTGTTCAAAAACTAATCAAGAAGTGGAAAATGAGGGGTTCTGTTGAAACCAAACCACGGTCAGGTAGACCAACTAAAATTTCAGCCACAACTGCCAGGAAATTTTTTGGGTATGCAAAGAAAAACCCACAAATAACTTCAGGTGAAATACGTGGTGTAGCTGTTTCAAGATGTAGAATAAGGGGGCACTGGAAGAAAGATGGGCTGCATGGTCAAGTCTCCAGAAAAAAGCCATAACTACACAAATGCCACAAAGTATCCACCTTACATTACGCAAAACAGCACAGAGACGAGCCTCAAACCTTTTGGCACAAAGTCATTTGGAGCAATGAGACCAAAATTGAGCTTTTTGGCCACAACCATAAATACTACATTTGGAGAGGAGTCAACAAGGCCTATGATGAAAAGTACACCATTCCTACTGTGAAACATGGAGGTAGATCGCTGATGTTTTGGGGATGTGTGAGCTACAAAGGCACAGGAAATTTCATCAGAATTGATGGCAAGGTGAATGCAGTATGTTATCAAAAGATACTGGAGGAAAATTTGCATTCATCAGCCCGGAAGCTGCGCATGATGCATACTTGGACATTCTAACATGACAGTGATCTTAAACACAAGGCCAGGTCGACCTGTCATTGGCTACAGCAGAATAAAGTGAAGGTTCTGGAGTGGTCATCTCAGTCTCCTGACCTCAATATAATTGAGCCACTCTGGGGAGATCTCAAACATGCAGTTCATGCAAGACAGCCCAATAATTTATAGGAACTGGAGGCTTTTTGCCAGGAAGAATGGGCAGCTTTACCATCTGAGAAGATAAAGAGCCTCATCCACACATACCACAAAAGACTTCAAGCTGTCATTGACGTTAAAAGGGCAATATACCGTATTAAGAACTGGGGTATGTAAACTTTTGATCAGGGTCATTTGGGTAGTTTCTGTTGTCATAATAATTTTAAAAAAGTAAACAGTTGATTGATAATAAATGGCTTCAGCCAACTATTAACCATGAGTGAAAGAAAAGTTTTGTGTTATCATTCATATTCTCTGAAAAATGGCCAAAAAATCATAAATTCTGCCAGGGTATGTAAACTTACAACCACAATTGTACATACTGTATTCACACATAGGAGATTTCTTCACAAGTGGTGGTCTTTTCATATGTTCACTCAAAGAAAGGCAGTCCAGTAATAATAACTGCTGACCAAAATAACATTTATTTCTTCAGCTACTTTTAACTAGCCAGTTGGAAAGTAGATAGTGTGGTGATGAGGGTGATAATCATAATTTATATCAGAATGACAAAAGACTATTGAACAGGATGGATTGGCAGGAAACATTGAAGAAAAGTTCTAGGTTACTCAGTGCAAAGCAACTAGAATTAAATAGTGAATTAGTTTTATTCTAATCTTGCTATCATTTCTACCAACCTGTGTAAATGACAACCACACTGGATTTTGTTAATTTAAAAAACCTCTAGAATGTAGATTTTCACATCTGTCAGTTGTTTATTGATATATTGATGTCAGGATTCCAGCAATTGCTCCAATTGATTTATGAACAGTACCATAAAATAATGCAAGTACTATCTCACTACTATATCAATTCTATGTCACTTTCACTTGAAATGGCCTCTTTTGGTGCAGATATATCAATCTCAATCTAATTTTAAATCTGGATCAAGTCTTGTTTTCCAGAATAGAAGTTACAGGAGAATAATTCTGATCTGGTCAGGAGAAGTAGGAGATTGTGAATTCAAAATAATGCTCTCAGAGAGGTTGGTGTATGGGTTAAATGTGGGTGAAATGATGTTCACTGCTCTGAAATCCAATCATTTAAAGTTACGATGGTGCTGAAAAAGTAACTTCATCAACAGTTCTTGCACTTTAAACCATTGCAATTTCCCCATAGTTTAATGATAACAATTCGGGCACTTCTCAACTGATGGACTTGTATGACTGTTGTTGTGTCCCACAAGCATGTGTCATTTGCATGTATCATAGTCAGCTTCCAACAAGCAGAGTCCAACAGGGAAGCCAGCAGTAAAATTTCAAGTCACTATGACATGATACCTCATTTTATAACCATGAACAATTCTTTAACAGTTACACAGAATTGAGGGCATAAGTCTGCTGTGGACATTTGATATCTCCTTTAACAAGCGCATTACTTAACATCAGAATTGCCAGTCTCAATTGTGGTCTGGTACAAGGAATATTCATACATAATGAAATATTATAAAATAATGAATAGTGATCCTCACTAATAGTGTTTGGAAGGAAAATAGGGCACTGTGTCCAGACAAGCATTAGTGGTTAAAAAAAACTAAAAGCAATTCCTTTTCTACATGTTCAAAAGCTTCTCCATCCAGAGAGTAGCAGACAAAAGCTCTAGTTTTTATCTTGTTTCTTAGACATGTATTGGCAGAATGTGGCTTTAGAGACAAACTCACATATTATTCTTTTTAATTTCCCATTATAGATGAGCACATTTCCTTCCAGATAATTGAGTTTGCTGTTTAATTTAGGGCTAGCTTAAACCTCACTGGTGAAAGCATTATATTTGCTCCCATCTCTGTTTGAGTCAGGGTTAACAGCCTGTTATATGAAAACAACTATTACCAGGGAAGACTGAAAATATATATTAAAAAATTCAGAACTAGAATTCTATTGTGTTTAGAGCTTCAAAAGCATAGAGTTAGAACAAATGGACTGAAACTGTGTTACTTTGTGCTGGATTTGAACAGGTTCATTGCCAAAAGAGGAAGACATTTTTCCAGCAGTATCTTGTCCATTAGCGTGTTTGTAAGTTGAAACAGTGAAGAATTACATTTGAGTGAACCCTTACCAATACAAGAAGCCAAAGACCCAGGAAAAAGAAAAAAAGTTGTTTTGTTTTTAAAAAGGAAACAAATGAATATATAAATAAAAGTGATGGCATTGTCACTTTGACTGAACCTTCCAGTGCTAAGAAGTTAGGAAAGATTAACAGAGGGTTTGCTGGTTACTTTTAAGCTTGCTTCTCAAAAGCAAGAAGTGTTTTAAGAAGGTATGTGATGAATCCCTGATTTAGTTTAGCAGAAGTGGAGTACAGTGGCTCACGTGATAAGGATGCCTGGCAGACAATTGGTAGAGTTGTGTTCAAAACCCGGTTGCTGAATTACGGGGTGAGCTCTCATCACTTATTCTAGCTTCTGCTGACTCAGCAGTTTGAAAGCAGGGAACCACAAGTAAATAGATGGGAACCACTTCAGTGCACAGCCTGATGTGGACAAAAAGGAATCCCTAACTGAGCATCCCCTGGGCAACAGTGATGCCACCAGCTAATCCTCTCAACCCAGAAGACCTCAGTGTTCCCAATATGAATGTAATAGCAGAACAAAATTTGTTCCTTGGGAGATACTTATCCTAGGTTATCTTGTATTTCTAACAGGATAGCTACAATTTCATAGTTTGTAGTTTGGGTTATCTTCTCCAGTTATTATTGATACTGAAAGCTGGTTGATGATTTTTTTCCCAGTCTTCTCTGTGTCTTGTTGCAATTGCAATCAAGGTATGTTGGAAATGGCAGTAGAAATTTCTATCAAGATCTAGGAAATCCAGAACAAAATATAATTGATGGTTCTTAATTTCTTAATGACATCAATTTGTGTTACCACCATAACTTTAATATCTTTATCGCTGAACATCTTACAAACAAAATAATGTGTAGTAAAGCAAGCAGCAAATGGTGCAAAGTAATTTGATTTTTCTGTTAAGTAGCCTATATTTTTATAGTAAGCCATGTATGGTTTTGCAATGAATATTTTATTTTAGGAGAAGTGCTCTAGTGCCAACTCTACACTAATTTAAATTGTGACCCTATCCCAAACTTAATTTCAGCAAAAAGGAGGAAAATAATTCAATTTGTATGAAAATCATTAGTTTTTTTAAATGAATTTAACACACGAGTGATTTTAACAATACATATCTTGACTTGATAATAGAAAAATTTTATGACAATAAAGTTTAAGCAACATAACTCAGTACTAATGTATCTTTTCTTACAGATGTTCGTAGAAGAACAATCTATGAATATCACAAAGTAGAGCTTCAGATGTCAAAGGTCACCAATCTGTCAGCTGTTGAGATGATTCCTCTGCCCAGTAAGCTATATTTAATAAGCAGATAAAATACTATATTTTAAAGGTGTGGTTAAGACATACCACTTTTCTTTTATAATATTTGTTATGCATAAAAAAGAAGATATTTTTGCATTGTTGGCTAATAGTGTAAAATTACTTATGCAACCCTATTGATATTTAAGCCAGCACAATAATATAGTGGTAGATATAATGTGCTAATGTCATTTTCATATTTCCACTTTGACTTGGTAAATCCCATAGTTTTCACAAAATATCAGTATTATTTGGGTTCTAATATTTGTGTATCTACATTATTGTTGTAATGTACATCTATTTCTTATCTAGTCATTTCTCAGCTATTTGTTTTTTTCTTCCATGTGTGTGTTTGTGTGTATAATCATAAGGTTGCTTGCAAATTCAATAGATTCACACTTTTTGATAAAGTACAGTCTTCTAAAATATTATTGTTGACTAAGCCACATTAGAATGATTTGAACATCATATCAATCATGAATGATATACCACTATGAATAGGTTCAGAAAACATGCTAAGTGAAATATAAACATAAGGCATGGTATATGAACCCAATTATAGTTTAAAATATTTGAAGTAAAAGCATATATGCTGATTTTTGTTTGTATACCATCTTTTTGTGATGTGGCACTCTCAAGAAACATTACCTGTGCTGTCTACAGGAATATGAGCATTAATTCCTGCTACTTTTTAAAAATACACCAGATTGGAGGCAGCTGTAATATCCCTTCTCTAAGGATCTTACTTTGCCTGGTCTTGCTTGGAGGTGACATGGAATAATCAATAAAGTGCTGGTCTTAAATTAGATGTGCAAAAGTTCATAATACAAACATTATGATAGACCTCACTGTTTAAACTTGGATGAACTTTGCTTGTCTCACAGAATAAGCTACATTTATATCATTGGGCCTCCTCTATTATGGTGATAGCAGCTGAAGCTTCTTAAATACCAGGTCCACTAATTTTCCTGGATATTTGTATTCATTTGGTTCCTTTCAGTAGCTATGTTCACAGGAGTGGGAAGGAGGCAATCAGTGATAAAATCAATGTCACAATGCAAGACTTGCCTCTTTTGTACATGTGTTGTGATAGTATATACACATCCAAAGGGGTTATAGCTAACAGTATGGTATTGTTTTCATCATTTTGACAAAAGCAGCAGGTGCTTGCAGTTACCCATGTAGCTTAGATGAGAAATAGGCATGGAATTACAGAATAACGCTATTCGCTTTGAGAAAAACTGAGGGGCTTTGAAAGAATTATATCCATAAAAGAGAGGCAAACTTGGTTCAGATGTCAGTGCTTATATTATATTAGAACGCTGGTCCTCACAATTGTTAAAGTGTAATTTGTAATATAGAACTGTGGATACCATCTGGCTGATCCCTTCTCCCATCTATTTTCTTGATATTTCTATTGTCTGATTGCTTTTTTTATGGCTTTATTATAGGTTTATTTACTTGATTGATTGCCATAAATTCTAAATTTGTTACTCTGTGCCTTAAGATACTGATAGCCATCTGCTTGCCCTGCTCATTGATATATATCTATATATGACCCTTTACTGTCTCGAATTTCTTACATTGATCAAAACTAATTTGTATCAAAGAACTCTGTGGAATTTGTTTGTTTATTTATTCACTTAAAACAGTGAAAAGGTATATATGCACCTAGCAGAACAAGTGCTCTCTGTTAGAGGTTGGCCATCCATTATGGATATTGATGTGAGAAAATGTAAAAAACAAAAGAAGTAGACAAGCTTGGAATGGAAATTGCCCGTACCCAATCTGAAGAAACCAGACTCAGCAGCTGAACTATTTTTAATCCGGTTATACTACCCTACTACCACAGCTTTCAAATTCTTGTACAACATTGTTAGTAATTATTAGTAATCAGCAGAATAAGTATCCTGATGCTGTGCATATTATAGTGGGGGACTTTAAGCAGGCTGATTTAAATTCTATCAGCATGTTAAGTGTGCTACTAGAGGAGCAAACATATTGGACAAAGTATAACCAACATTAAACATGGCTATCAAGTTATACAATTACCAGTTACATTTGGGACAATCAGATCATATGTCACTGGTTTTAGCACCAGCATACATCCCTCTTAGGAGACAGGTTTGCCTATAATAAAGACAGTGAAATCTTGGCCAGACGATGCTTCCCAACAACTTCAGGATTGTTTTGAGAACACAAATTGGGACATTTTTTTACCACCCTGACCTAGAGGAGCACACTACAGCTGTTCTCTGCTATATCAAACATTGCACACATACTGTCACTGTGGATAAAAGTATTAGGATCTATCCCAATCAGAAGCCCTGGATGACCAAGGAAGTCCAGTGCCTCTTTCATGACAGGACCAAGGCCTTTAGGTCCAGTGATGGGGCAAGATAAAGTGTTGCCAGAGCTGGTCTGAGGAAAAGACCAAGACTGATTATAAGAGGAAGAGTGAGGATATTTTTTATAATAATAACATGACACAGATGTGGTGAGGGATTCAACAAATTACCAACCAGCAATGACCAATGTCATCCCTGCTGAGGGGATGCTTCATTGGCAGAGGAGCTGAATCATTTCTTTGTTTGCTTTGAAGTAGAGACATCAGAGACAGCTAAAATACAGCCACCAGCCCATTCTAACTCCCACCTCATTGTGGCGGAACAGGAGGTGAGGAGCATCCTGAGAGCTGTTGGCCCTAGAAAGGCTGCCAGTCCTGATGGTATCTCTGACTGAGTGCTTAAAGACTGTGCTGATCAGTTGGCTGGAGTCTTCAATTTGGTCTTTATCCCAGTCCACTATTCTTGTTTGAAGGATTCTGCCATTGTTCCGCTGCCAGAGAAGTTTCCTATCAATAACATCAATAATTACAGACCAGTAGCACTCACTCCTATCATCATGAATTGCTTTGAGATATTGGTCTGCCAGCACATCATTTCTGGTCTTCCACGTACATTTGATAAACACCCATTTGCATACAGAAGACATAGATCTATAGAAGATGCTCTAACCATCACTCTTCACACTGCTCTGACTCATTTGAAACAGCAGGGAGGCGGCTATGTGAAAATGCTTTTTGTAAATTTTAGCTCTCATTTAACACAATATTTCCACATAGATTAGGGTATAAATTTACGGATCTTGGACTTTCTTATTCAGTCTGCCTTTGAATTATGGATTTCCTGTCTGGCTGCTCTCAGATGGTCATATCTCTTCAGCCCTTATTCTTAACACCGGTACACTACAGGGTTGCATCCCTTGTTGTGTCCCTTATTCTATACTCTTTATATGCATGACTGCATTCCCACTCATGCTGGTAATACTATTACTAAATTTGCAGATGATATACCAGTGGTGGGACTTATCTCCCAGGGGGATGAGTCTGCTTATCGAGATGAGGTGAACCAGTTGCTTTCATGGTTGGAGACAATAACTTAGTTCTTCACACCATTAAGACTAATGAGCTTATAGTGGATTATAGAAGGAATAGATCAGACATCCAGCCCATGCTTATCAATGGAGACCAAATGGAGCAAGTGACCAGTTTTAAGTTTCTGGGTGTTATCATAAAAGAGGATCTGATCTTGGGCACTCACATTGCAGCACTAGTCAAAAGGGCCGAGCAGAGATTATACTATCTGAGACTTCTCAGAAAACAATAACTGAATGAAAATGCTGGTGGCCTATCACTGCACCATAGAGAGTATTTTAACTTACTGCACCTGTATATGGTTTGCCAGTTGCACAGTAGCAGATAGGACAACACTCCAGAGGGTTAATGTCATTGCCCTTTTTGGAAGAGCTTTATAGCTCCCTCTGCCTTAAGAAAGTTCAAAACATCCTCAAAGATCCATCTCATCCTGGGCACCTTTTTTTTAATTATTACCATTTGGCAAATGGTACAGGATAATAAAATCTGATAAACAGCTTCTATCCCAGAACAGTAACTATATTGAATTCTACTGTATAGTGCAATATTAATGCACTATGAATTTTCAATTCAAATGTATAGAATGTGAAGAATGTGGGTTTGTGTTTTATTTTTATAGTTATAATATACACTGAAGATGGCATCTAAATTTGTTTTATAAGATTCAATGACAATAAAGTAAACTAAACTGAACTATGGCACTTTAACAGTTTCCTAACCTTTTTGTTATGTTCATCTGTCATCTGTTATGTTCATTATGCTATTAAAGGTAAATAGACATAAAGGAATAAATAAGAAAACTTTACAGCAGAAAGGCAGATTTAGGAGATATACAAGTTGTATATTAATGTGTAAAAGCAAAAAATGGAGGTTGCAGTGTGTTTATCTTGTACTGTGCTAAGAAGTTGGAAGTCAGTGCCCTCTTTTCTTTCTTTTTCCCTTTCCCCTTGTATCTCACACCCCTTTTTCCTTGCTCCCTTTCCCTCCCTTAATTTCCTATTTTTTTCTTTTCTTCTTTGTATTTTATATAATAAAATAAAAATAATAAATGGAGATATACAAAACATGAAAAGCTGTAGAAAGGCATTACAATTTGGGAGTCAAAACTAATTATACAAATTCAATCTGTAATAGATTTACATATCTCCATAGTATGTTCTGGAGGTGCCAAATTATTGCCCCCCGGCCAGTTTCATTTATTTTTGAAGAGAATAGATTCCTGAAAAAGTCAATTGTAGGAAATCTTCGTAAGATGAACAGTTTATTTTTATTTGTTTGCCCCTGTCTGCATCTACATTTTATTTTATTTTATTTTATTTTTACAGCTTGTCTTCAGTTTAACAGCTGTGTATCCTGTATCATGTCTCAAATTGGTTTCAACTGCAGCTGGTGTAGTAAACTCCAAAGGTAAGAAAGCTTGTTAACTTTAGTCTTTGGTACACCATGGCTTTGATAATGAATCAGTTTATCCTTTCGCCCATAGAATAAATAGACTCTTTTAATTAAGCTAATTTATTGCTTCAAATTCTTTTTACCCTTTTCAATTGTGGTAAAGAAAATTAAAAGGTTTCTTTTTCAGATTCCCAAGATATCTTAATTGATAGCCAGACTCTTCCACATAATTAACACTCAGAAAAAAAGATTCCTTGCCAGGCTTGGTGGGAGTGCCCTAGAATTATGGAGTATTGGCAAGTGGCATGAAATATAATTGAAAGGGCAACAGGCTGTATATTAAATCAGTAGCCAACAGAGGTTATATGGGTTAATAAATAAGTTTTTATTGTAAAAAAAATAATGCAAATGTTGTTCATTTAAAAAACCAAATATTAAATTAAATATGGATGGATGTAGCTAAAATTAAGGAATGGCTGGAATGAGAGGATTACTGATTGAAAAAAGTTGTGTTCTTTTGTTTAAGAACATAAATTATATGTGGTTACAGATTAGGATTTATTAAACAATTATAGCTTCAACCATCCAACAAAAGCATGTTCATTTATTTATGGAGAGGAGCAATTGGGAGGGATCTCATTTTAGTAGAAGATTTCACATTCCATGTACTAATTCGGTTTTTTATTCATTTTATTGTTTAAGTTGAGGTTTTAACTTTCTAACCAATATTTTAATCTTTTGATTTTTAATTGTTTTATATCATTATTTATAACATTGTAAATTGTCCAAAGTTGCCTGATAGTGACATTGGAGCATAAAAGTTGCCTGATAGTGACATTGGAGCATAAGAATTTAATAAATGAATAAATTATTCTGAGTAGTTGGCGAAATACAAGCATTTATTCTTCCCTTTTGGTTAAAAAAATAAGTGTCAAAAACTAAACCTTTGAAAAAAAAGTTTATTTAAAAAACCATCATGTAAATGCACTCTGATATACATGCAATTGGATCCTAACACTTGAATAATATTAATATTTGAAGATAGACTGTTATCTATGAAAATTTTCTGGGAATATTTCATTTCTATATTCAATGTGACAGGCCACAAACTGGTAATAAATAAATGCATTTAGCATAATGAAGCAAATGCTTTAGAATATTTTATAGCGCTCTCTCTCCATATATATAAATCAAACTTTTCATCAATATGTCATCATCAGTGATATAATACAGAATTCTCTCATCATAATTTGATCTGTCCTTGAATACTTCTCCAACTGCCTTATGGTGTAGTATATTTACATAGTTTATAAAATACTCCATGAAATTCTATAAGACTGAAATATAGGAGAGTCAGATTTAACCATGCACTTACAAAATAAGGCTTTTTGGAATTTCAGAAGATATCCATATGAAAGCTGTATATTGGATTTTTTAAAAAAAATTAATGAACTAATTATCACATGATTGAATGAGAAGTTTGAAAGAAATGCATTTAAATATTGTGAAATATTTGCATTTATATGTCTCATTTCATCAATAATATGTTAAGAATGATTAGAAGGATTAACTCTATACTTTAACTTGTAACAGAAAAGATCAGGAGTGTATTTATCAAATCATAACAAGCTATAATTCTATTAAATGTTCATGAAAAATTTGACCTCTGATATATTAGTATGGTATTCCTGGAAATTTTGAAAACTATTCCTGAACATTTTAATTTATCTTTGGGGCCTGTTACCACAATTATATTTCCTTGTTTAAAGTTCAACTCTTACGTGATTGTAAAATATTGTTGTATATAATTCTTCAGAAAAAATTTTTTATAATTACAAGTTTCAAAGTTTTAATATTTTTCATAATATGTACTTGTATTAATCGAAATTAGAACAGGTTACACCGGTGGATCTATTCTCATGTTCCTGTTGCAAGGATCATGTCAAAGCATGAGCATAAAGAAAATTTATGTTCCTAGTGAGTACCGTAAAACTTTCTAATTCAGTTATTCTCCATATCTCATATAAAGTGCCATCGATTTATCAGTGAACCTGCTATTAGCATGTTAGGAGGAAAAAACCCTTCCATTTTTCCAAGAAGGATATGCATGTGTTTTTTGGAAAGCTCTTATTATATTTTTCACTTCCACAATTCTTAGAGACTTAAATTTTCAGTGTCCACATTGTGTCCATGTTAGACTAGTCTGACTTACTCAGCATTTCCTATTAGTTTGTTTTGCCACAATTTTTATATTTTTGGCATTCGGTATCAGAAGAATAATTTTAGAGTCGGGAATTTAAAGTGCGCAGTAATAGTTCTGAGCAATATTGACATAAGAGTTGAACTTTAAACAAGGAAATATAATTGTGGTAACAGGCCCCAAAGCAAGTTTTTTTTACTACCAGTTCTGAGGGCGTGGCTTGGTGGGTGTGGCAGGGGAAGAATCTTGTAAAATCTCCATTCAGAGGTGGTATTTGCTGGTTCTCCTAACTATTTAAAATTTCCACTACCAGTTCTCCAGAACACCTGCTGATTACCACTTCTGGTTCTGAGGGTTTAATTAAAAAAAAATCATCCTTAGCTGCTGACCTTGTTCAGCATGAATGAATTCACTTGCATCACTGTTATGCAAACTAGACTGCGTTGCTGTTGGTTCTTGTTTTAAATGCTGTTGTACTTATAGCTTTAGAAATTAGAGCTGGAAATTCTACTTGTTAAGCGGGGAGAAGGCTTTACAAAGGTTTTCCAGCAATCTAATGAGGCTCTGAAGGACATATATAATGAAGGACAGAAAGAAGGTTTCTGCCATTCAAAGGTTATGAGCATACCTAACATTTTGACTAGACGGTTCTTTTCAATTAGATTTTTTTCCCCTTCAAAGTTATATTTTATCATTTTTAACAGAAATAATGGACAAAAATAATATTCATAGAAACTGAAAGAAATCACATTATGAGGAAATAGCAGGCCTGATTTGTGTTTCCTCTTATTCTATGTTGTGAACACAGTTCTGCCACTTTGAAAAAAATTTCTTGGTAGGATTAGGCTATTAGTCAATGTATAAGGTATGCTAATTAAAGTACTGGTCTGACATCAGGGAGATCAGCATCTGGTTTGTATTTTAGACCAGTGGTGGAATTCATTTTTTTTTTTACTACTGGTTGTGTGGGCGTGGCTTGGTGGGCATGGTGTAACTAGGTGGGCGTGGCCAGGGAAGGATACTGTTAAATCTTCATTTCCACTCCAGGGGAAGGATTCTGTAAAATATCCATTCCCTCCGCACATATGAGGAAAGGTTACTGCAAAATCCCATTCCCTCCCCACCCCACTGACCTGCTTTCCAGCTCCGTTCTCCTGTGTAGGGCAACAAAAGAAGACTCAGCCGATCAATTGGGACTCAGGAGGCAGAGAATAGATGGGGGCAGGGTCTGTCAGAGGTGGTATATAAGAACTGGTCAGAACCTGCTGAATACCACCTCTGCTTTAGATATAGAAATTTTGGCCTCTCCTCTCAGCCCAGCCTACTTCAAAGATTGTCACAACCGTTCTTACAACTTATAATCAACTTTCAACCATTTATTTAACAATAATTTAAAATTATAACAGCACTGGAAAAAGTGAATTATGACTCATTCTCAAAGATACAATAGCCAGTCCACCCCCAACATGGTTGCAGTTAAGATGCTTGGAACTGGCTCACATTTACAACAGCTCACATTTACAACAGTTGCAAGTGTCGTGTGGTCACATGATCACAATTTGACATTTCCCAGCCAGTTTTTGACAGGCAAAGACAATGAGGAAACCTGGATTCACATAACAACCATATGGTTTGCTTTATTAACCCCATGATTCTCTTAATAACTGCCTAAAATGATTGCAAAATTGGATCCAGTTAGAATAAGTGATGATTTGCTTAACAATCACATACTTAGCAAATAAAATTCCAATCCGAATTGTGGTTATAAGTAAAGGACTACTTGTATATTATGCCAGCAGACTTGAAATTCTAGACCTAGAAAACCTTGAATTATGCCATCTTTGGTCTGATCTAAGTATGGTATATAAAATCATACACTGCTCAAAAAAAAAAGGGAACCCTTAAACAACACAATGTAACGCCAAGTCAATCACACTGCTGTGAAATCAAACTGTCCACTTAGGTAGCAACACTGATTGACAATCAATTTCACATGCTGTTGTGCAAATGGAATAGACAACAGGTGGAAGGCATAGGCAGTTAGCAAGACATCCCCAATAAAGGAGTGGTTCTGCAGGTGATGACCACAGACCACTTCTCAGTTCCTATGCTTTCTGGCTGATGGTTTGGTCACTTTTGAATACTGGTGGTGCTTTCACTCTAGTGGTAGCATGAGATGGAGTCTACAACCCACACAAGTGGCTCAGGTAGTGCAGCTCATCCAAGATGGCACTTCAAGGCGAGCTGTGGCAAGGTTTGCTGTGTCTGTCAACGTACTGTCCAGAGCATGGAGGTGCTACCAGGAGACAGGCCAGTACATCAGGAGACGTGGAGGAGGCCGTAGGAGGGCAACAACCCAGCATCTGGACCGCTACCTCCCCCTTTGTTCAAGGAGGGACAGGAGAAGCACTGCCAGAGCCCTGCAAAATGACCTCCAGCAGGCCACAAATGTGCATGTGGCTGCTCAAACGGTCAGAAACAGACTTCATGAGGGTGGAATAAGGGCCCGATGTCCACAGGTGGGGGTTGTGCTTACAGTCCAACATCGTGCAGGACGTTTGGCATTTGCCAGAGAACACCAAGATTGGCAAATTCGCCACTGGCGCCCTGTGCTCTTCACAGATGAAAGCAGGTTCACACTGAGCACATGTGACAGACGTGACAGGGTCTGGAGATGCCGTGGATAATGTTCTGCTGCCTGCAACATCCTCCAGCACAACCAGTTTGGCAGTGGTGTGGGGGGGCATTTCTTTATGGGGCCGTACAGCCCTCCATGTGATCGCCAGAGGTAGCCTGACTGCCATTAAGTACCGAG